TAAATTAAAATACTACGATCTAAAAACACGTTTTCAGACCAACCCTGGTATAGAAGGAGAAGAGTGGAGTTTATAAGATATTATCACCACAACATATTAAACTCTAGTATTATAAGAACGAGTTAGACATTTGCTTCCCAAGAAGGTTCAGTTTTACATGCCGCTTGGGAGTTATATACGTTAAGGGGAATACATTTGTTATATGAAACAAATATGTAGAAAATAATAACTAAAATGAGTGTTTAATTTCTAAGAATTACAAAAAAATGTTATTAAATAGAAAATAAGACCTGTTTAAAAAAATATCTGTGGTTCTATTTGACAGTTGTCTTAAAAAATGTCAGTTGATTTTTTAAAATCCAACTTTAAACAACCAGGACTTGAATTGTCTTCCTTCCTTCCAACTAATTGAGCTACCGTGTCCTATCGTAGGCCGTTAAATGTATCCAACCCAAATAGAGTTTTAAATTATATAAAATAATAAAGTTTTCAAAAGCCAAAACACTTGGTTTTTCTTGAAACTAAAGCCTCAATAACGCGAATACTGTATTCATAACAAAAAATATTTTTTGTCCATAACTATTATTATATAATAATTATTAGTTATCCAACATAAAAACTGTGTTTTCTTAATATCGAAATAAATGCCTATCTCTATAATTATATATATTTCAAATAACAGTTCCGTAATGGTATTTACTGATATATTTTCATTTATTTTCAAGACATTTTTCGTAGATAATATATAACACAACGTATAAATAAATATTATTGAATTTGCTTTAGTTATTAAATTAATATATATTTATTTTAATAGTCAAACTGAGTTAAGCAGATATTCTGCGTTTGATTTCATAATTGATTTACTACCTAGCATTTAAATACAATAATTACCGGTAAACGTACGTCGAAAAATATACATCGATATATTAGTCTCCCCGTGACCACGGTTACTGCAAAGCATTCGAATCGTCGGGCCGCAGTTAAAATAATTTTAACTAATATATATCGCGTTTTAAATCGTTATAGTGTTTCATTTAAATATTTCACCATTGTATTTATTTCTTTCCCGTGCTTCAAATTGAGGAACTCTTCCACTTAACGCAAAGCGTGACAGCTCGTTATGCATTCACACTAGTTACGTCACACTCTAAAGTAACATAATTGTTTAATCAGGGAATCAAATTCCCAACCGTACTATCACATATCTGATACACATTTCAATCTAGACCGCTTCTGTAGCTAAATGGTTAAACGTGCCAGCATTGCGTTAAGCGCGAGGGATCCGGGTTTCGAATCCCGGGAAATCAATAGATTGAGCCGATTTGGGCCGACCACGGAACTCTGATCATCTGATCAAGCAAGTAGTGCTTGTAAAGTAAAACCAATCAGTGAAACGGACTCACAGATGTGTTCGCCCCCTATTCCAAAGCCAAACAGGATTTCACAGTTGACAGTTTGACAGCTAAAGCTTTGTCGAATCTCTTCTGAAAAAGCACGTGTTAAAATTACAAAATCAATACCATACCATACATAATGCATTTTGTAATAAAGAGTTGCCATTTTTAAGATAGAGCACGCGCCCACTTCGTTTTATAATAAAAGTAATCTGTTGGATATAATCTTCACGTACAGATGTAATAAGTGATAACGAAGTCTAGATTACTTGTTTGTTTTTACGGGCTATTTAGTTTTTTTTTTTTATATAATAAATAAATAAAATATTAGATTAAAGACTGTCGACATTTTATCATAATTACTGAAATATGTGGTGTCATTTCAAAATTAAATAGTTAGAAAAAAAAATTGTGTGAAACAGACACGACATGTAAATGTGTACAAAGACAGTATTACTATGATATACAACTATATAACTATATAAAACTAATTATATGCACTTAAGATTAAAATACAGCATAAATTAAACGGCGAGGGCTGAAGATAGCAAGGCACAGAGTTTGCCGGGCGAGTCCAGGTGTATATCAAATAAACCACTAAGCTCTTTATTTCTTTTGGTGAGATATCGATGATCCTTGGAATCCCTGGCTATACAGTAAGTTGTTTCGGTTGGTTGAAGTCACCAACTCAAGTTTTCATTGAGCATGATTTAAACAACCCTGAAGCAACGCAACCAATAAAAAGTTATAGCGCTGATCGTTATGCCTAAAACTATGGCATATAATAAATTTAACATCGGTGAAGCGTGAGTCGTATTCACGTACAAAGAATCAGTATACAAATTTGAATTTTTCAGTTATTAAGTGCCTACATGTTGTCATATATTTATCAATTTTATAAAGAGCGTTTGCAAGAGTTTGTTTGAACGCGTTACTCACAAGAACAACTGGTCAAATTGAAAAATTCCCTTTGTGTTGCTTAGAGCATTTATTAAGTGGCTTTAGCCTTAAATACTTTAGGCTTCAAGCAATAGAGCGAATAAATGTGCAAAACGGGGAAAGTTAAATATTTATTTTATTTTAGTTAGTTATTAAGGAAACTACAAAATATCACGCTGTGTTGGTCACAGATAGTAGCGCAGGTACAGTGGTTAATGTAGAAGAAACGGGGAAAATCTTTAAGGCTTTCCGTTGTGTGCGCTGGGAAAAAGATTTAAATTTAATAATGAAAGAATTATTCCCGTTTAAATTACCTAAAAAAATTAAGCGATCGTATATGTCTATTTTTTAAATAAAACACTTTAACGGTTTAAAACGCGATATATTAGTTAAAGTTATTTGGAAATGATTTTTAACTTCGGCCCGACGTTACCACCCCCGTGACCACGGCTGCTGCAAAGCATCCGAAACGTCGGGCCGAAGTTAAAATCATTTCCAAATAAGTTTAACTAATATATCGCGTTTTAAACCGTTTAAGTGTTTTATTTAAATGTGTACTACTCGCGTAAACTATAGACAGTATTTTATATGTCTATCTTTCAAGAATAGCAAGAACGACGAGACGCGGACGACGTCTTGGGTGACAGCTATCATTTATAAAGATGAGGTTTGCAAACAAATTCTGATGATAATAACTAATCTACGCGGACGAAGTCGCTGAAACAGCTAGTTGATCAGAGAATCTCTTGCAAACTTTTTCTCAGATATATATTGAAGGTCATCAACGTTTTTCGTATGAAGACTTAAATAAAAGACTTAATATCTTACATTAATCTTTAGATTGTTTGCAAAAACGACTGACGTTAAGTAAAATAATTGTTAGTACAAAAGATTAAATATTTACTTTTTTATTACAAGTACATAGTCAAGTACATACAGTGCGAGAGCGACTAGCATGGGTTTTAGTTGATGTAAGGGTGTGTTGTCGCCCTATTATGACCATTTGACCGGTACGGCTAAGCCGAAATGACATTTATAGTACATGCTATTATAGGAAGTATCCAAATAAATACCAAAAAGTTCTAAAAAAATGAGCTGCTAAACTTAAATAAAAACATAACGGTTGAAATTGGCCAAAATGATAGTTAATTTATAAAAAAATATTTTAACTACCGGACCTCCCATTGGTCTATTGAAAAGTATCAGAAATGTCGGGCTATTGTTAAAATAAATTTAATATAAGTATAGCTAAAACATTTCGCGTTTTAAACCGTTCAAAGTGTTTTATTCAAATGTGTAGGCGCTATTCGCGTAATCTATGGACAGTGGTAAACGATTCTTCTAATTTAAAAAAAAATGTTTAAGATTTTTTAGCACTTTTAAATTATGTCTTGGCAGTTGGTCGGACTGAATTTCAATCGTATTTCGGTTTCAGTTTGATGATTGCCGAATATCCAAAGCCCAAGACGGCATCTTGTATGCGAATCACCTTCAATCCTGTCATATACAATGACGCAGTCAACTGTTTTATAAACTTTACACCTTGTTTCTTTGCGAGTTTAATTTAAAGCCCTTGAGAATTTCCATTGAAGTGAAAGCAAGGAGTATTACGTAAACAGAATTTTAAAACATATTTTTAGATTGCAGAGCTTCGGTTCTCTTGTGCCCGTGTGCGTTCGACATTCCTGACTTTGTCACTTCCCTGTTTTTATATTACGTTAATCTATACGATTCCGTATAAGAAATTGCGTTTATTACATAACTATGACGGTTTAAGCCATGTTTTATAGTTTGTTTTTCTGAAAACAACACAACAGGTCGTGGGTCCGATACCCAATGTGTCCAGCATGTTAATTTATTTAACAAAACATGGAAAACTTACAGCTAATAACAATAAAAAATTTTCTCTTTTAGCTTCAGAACTGTAAAAATTTACACAATTTTACAAAAAAATTACAAAATTACAAAAATGCGAGCTTAGATTACGAGTTTGAAGAAACATTTTTTTTTATCAATTTAATTAACAGCAATGAGTGTTAGCTTATCCAGTACTATAAGCATTAGAAAAAATGTGAAATAAGATTCTTTTTGCTAAGGGCACACTTAATAAAAAAGGGATCAATGTCGTGCTGTTTACATATCCTATTGAAACTAGTGGAGGCGCGCACCAGGAAGCTGTTTTGCCTAAAATTGGTTTTAGCAGAAGGAATGTGAAGAAGAGGGGTAAGCCGCAGTGTCTTGGGTGGTACATTAAAATTTTTCATTTTAAATTAAGATTCCATATTTGGGACGCGTGCTCCAAGTGACTCCGTACATAGGTGAAGTATAAGATTTTAAGAGTTTCAACATCAGAAAAAGTAATATAGTTTTATATTAAGTGAATGGTGGGAATATCGAGATTCTGTCTGGCTCACGAACAACTGAACGCAGATGAAAAAGCCGTGAATTTTTTTTGCGTTTCCGTTCCTTAATCCACAAAGCCCAAATAGGCCAACAGCGCATGTAATATTAAAATAAATGGCGACTTTCATAAAGTTAACCTCTCGTCTGTTCTACAATGTCATAAAAAATCCAGCAGGAGATTACAGACAAGACAGAGTTGACAATATAATGCGTCCTAAAAATGCATTTTACAAAGCTATAACATATAACATAACTAAAACAATGAACAAAAAGAAAACATATTTAAACAAAGAGACGATAAAAAAGCGGATAAAGTCGAACTCAAGTCAGTATCACGAGATCGACCCCAACTTGCGCCTGGTAGGAGGAGACAGGGAATCAGAGGAGAGATTAAATAACAGACAGGTGTGGATTCGATTTAGCTTTTCATCTATTTTTTTATGGTTGTCTTGAAATGTAACGTTTCGAAGTGATGAAGATGTGAATATTTGATGATCAATCTACAGCTATCCTCATAGCCATACTCAGGTCACCTCCTGCACCATGCACAATCTGAGAGCTTTATCCCGTTTTGCATCAAAAAAAAAAGTTTGTCCTAATATATTTGTATTGTGGTTTGAATATGAGGTCACTAATTGATCAGGTACTGCCACTTACTGGATATCATTTTCGACTCGGAATTCAAACACAGCACCTATCCGTAACAAATGCAACCGACGCATCAAGAAAGTCGTAGTAATTTAGGTAATTTAGTAACTAAATGTATGTATTATATACTAAAACTGCATTCCTCCGCTGCGTTTTATCATTTGCACTACCGAAGAATATTTGAATTCTAAAATACCCACGATAATTTGGTAAAAGTTAAATATTTCTAATACGACTGCCCACTGGCCTTCCTAACTCACCAAGGCTTACAACGAGCGTTTTATGCAACATATACGCAATATAATTAAATCTACATTAATTATATCCATTCATGAAAATTCCACACATGTAACTGTAAAAGATTCTTGCAGTTTATTTATAAATGCGTGGAAAGTGCGTGCGGAGCACGTTTCTGGAAGGTAGGCCCTTAAACACGCTATTATATTAAAATTGTTTAAATAAAGCGCGAAATGCATTAGTTAATTTATTTACTAAAATATTTTAAACGCTTTACAGCAGCTGATTAGAAGCCAGTGTAAACATTTCGCGTTTTCAACCGTTAAAAGTGTTTCATTTAAATATTGTGTCCTACTCTAAAAACAATAGTTACTTCGGACGAAATTTTAACGTCCTACTAACAAACAACCATTAGAACACAAAGAGAAGAATTTTCGTAACTGGCTCCTGTTTTTAGCTTTTGTATACGGAACCCTAAAATATAAAAGACTACAAGAGATGGAGTTCAACAATATTTCACATGACCATGTGAAATATAATAAATTCCAATAAATATTTTATTAAATTTCTTCCTAAATAGCATAGTTAGTGTTGATTATAATGTGCATCAAAATCAACCCAGACAGCTGTCTGAAATTCCATCACCCCTTTGGGGTATGGGTCGAAGACATTTCTATGCCCGTTACATATAGACATCTATACACATTACAAGTAGAACAGACTTCTTGGCCCCGCCTAACCAAAACAATATCTATTTTCTTTCCTCGAAATTAAACGTAAGATTAGGCGATGCATTAGATCCTTGAAGTACAGAGGCTAACAATACGCGATATCAATAAATTAATTCCCCAATTATTTACTAGCGATGTTTGGTAATATAAAAAAGAAGTAAAAATGTTTTTTAATGTAATTATAAACTTATATATTTTTAATCTTAATTTGTCATATTTAAAGAGAATTAGCATTGCCTTATTGCCGTCATTACTTTTTAGTATACGGATTTTGTATTATGCATTGACAAATCTCATTAACCGACCTTGCAAGGAGAATTAGGTGTTTCGAGTTAACACTCGCTCTAAGAAGATGAATTTTTCTTAAATGTAGTCTTAACCAACCCTTAAAATGATAAACATTTGAATAATTTTATGACCTGTAAATAAACGAATTATCAGAGTTCTATTTTTGAGACTAAATGTTAAGTAATTTAATTTTAATAACTAGATATTAAAATTAATATAATGGCATGTTGCGAAATTTAAAAAAAAATAGGTCTGTGGCTAAGTCTAGACCGAGTTCACGTTTATAATCGCTACGTAGCGGTAACGGCGGGCATTCAAATACAAATTTAAAAATAGAATAGAAAATATATTTCAAATGATAATGGTTTAGTAAATTGTCAGTGGCTATTAATAAATTTAATTTTACAATTAGTTACTAATTACCCTATATATCTGTGGTATTTGGTACGGTTTACAAGTGATTAGTTTACAACTTATTAATTGAACATTACAATCCACATCTGTTATTCTTAATAAAGTTTTTTTTGTGTTGTAAGATTTTAGGCCGTTATTTGAATAACATTTTGACAATTAAACTCATTCGCTTTCTTTTTAAATTTTGAAAATCGAAATCCACATAGAAATGCTTAGATAGAGCACGGTCTTTCTGGTGCGTAGCAGTTATCATAGCGATCGTGACGTCACTTTATTGAGATATATAGGAGATAGTCGCCGGTGCGCGCGCACATTGCAAGTTAAGTGATTGGCCGGCGCAGGACTTTTGTGCTGACATATAGTCTGTCGGGGAGTTCATTGTTTTGTTGATAAAACAACGAAGTGATATTTAGTGCTCGATTTATTGGGAATACACAAAATTGTAAGTAAAAAAAAATTTTTTTACTTATTCATTAATTTACATAGATCTAATTATTTTAATATACTTGCAAAGAGAAGCAACTGAAAATTTTCAGTACTATTCAAAAATACGCTAACAAGTGTTGAAATAAATATTAAAATATCTAATAAAGATCGTCCAGTGTGACGGTCAAGTACGTTTCACACAATATATAAACATTATAACACACTACGCAATTTCTTATAGTTACAGCTAATTTTTTACTCAACGACACTTCGGTTTTTATATGACGACAAAGTTTTAGAACTTGGTGCTATTTTTTTGGTCACTTGACATGTACCACCGTCGTGTTTGAGATTTAATATTTTGAAATAGGTTTCAAGTGGCTAGTAAACGTATGTCACTGCTTGACGAATCATAAATTGTGAGTGTGAAAAGGATTATTTATGGCTTTGCCATTGTCAACTGTGAAAGTTAGGTGCCCTAAGATTCTCAAGTTACTTTCGATACTCTTGTAGGAAAATACTCTTAATATCCCCCTTTTACAAACACTAAACAACTTTGATTATATCAGAAATGCTATATATTAACTAAAATATATGAACGAATAAAGTATTTATAATTTTGAAACTTATGAAACTTGATATTTGATTGGCAACTATTTTCAAGCTAAGTATTTTATATTTCTCTGAAACACACTCCACTTATCCGACCGTGTTTATTAAAAAGGAGAATTATGTTTTTGCAAAACGCATTATCGAAGTTAGATTTTATATTTAAAAGACAGATGCTGTTGTCTAATACTATAAATACATAATATGTTTGTTAAGATGTCTTATAAGACGTATTGTACTTAGGGACAGTAACTTTCAAGTGTATTTTCAAGTACCATTGTAGAGTACTCAAATATCGTGTCTCACAAATATTGCATAATAAAAGGAGTTAATTTACAACACGTCTTCCACTAGTCGTGAGTTCCAAGTTGCTGGTGGTAATAAGAATATTTACTATGATCATAGTGTCTACATATTGAACACTATCATGGTAACTATGGTTGCTAACTATTACTAATTACTATGTTTCGTAGCTCACTGAAATCAAACATAATAGCATCGCCACTTATTGGAGCAAGACTCCGTACTCGAAAAACAAATGAAATTTTCAATTAATTCGGGTACTTTTGAAATCGCTTTGTAATTCGAATATCGAACACCAAATTATTTTCGGTCGAATTTGCAATTATGTTATGGGGGGGGGGGGGGCCGCGAGCTACTAGCGTTACTAATACATTTTCCATCCCTCCACCAGCCCCCGCATTCTGAACAGCAAATATTTTCGGTCGAAGTGCAATTATGCTACTAGCTTCTAATACTACCCTCTTAAACGAACGCATATTTCAAGTAACAATACTACATCAATCGAGGCTTGATCTAAGACTACTTTTGTGGTTTAACGTGACAGAAAAGGTAACGTTTACCTTATAAATTAACGTTATTATGTTACCATATAAATGGGTAACTTATATTCTGCGCGGAATCAAAATTGGATATCTTAGTAATTGACTCGGAGATCCCGATTAATTTTTCTTTAAGGAATATTGTAAATTCATTTAAGTAATATACTTTAACTAAACTTATTTAAAAGTTATTTTTAACTACGGCCCGACGTTTCGGACGCTTTGCGTGACCACGTTTAACTAATATATATTACAGACAGTATTCTGTAAATACATGTTTATAATATAAAAATATCGTACGTAATTCATACGATTGTTAAAAATACTAATTATATTGATGTATTATTTATAATATTTGTGACAAGTAAACTCGTCTAAATAATTAAAGCTCAAAGTTTATATTGAAGTCGTAAAAAGTTGTGTAAGTTACGCGCAAGAGTTTATCAAATAGATAAAATGAAGGGCGATTTTGTAGGCATATATGGTCGAAAGCATTGCGGTCTTTGTCTTGTTTTTGTCCTTGCGGTCGCGTTTCAATTAACAGTATGTTTACTATCATATAACTATATATTTTGCGTACTCTTAAACGCGTCCGTTGCGCGTCGCTTAGTTAGGGAGTTATTAGGTACAAATGTGTTGTATACCTTAAACGATCGTTAGGTATCGAACTGGTATTTTTTTACATGATCACAGCTTTAGTAAGAACAAACGTACGTAACAAATCATGCGTATGCACAGTAGCAAAGATAATAACAAAAAACACTTAAACCAATAAATTGCTAATCTATATCTATAATATGAACATTTAAGTGGGTATATTTAACTTAACCTTTTTGTTTCAAAAATAATAAAAGAATTCAATACCTTCGAGAGGGTCTGATTTTTATTTCGAGTTAATTTTATAACACAAATTATACGACTTACTGACGTGTATATCCCCTGAGTGTATTTTGGTAATCAGATATATTTCGCAATTAGTAAAACATTGAACTACTTCTAAGATATGCAATTATAGCCGAAACATATGCCAAGGTTATTTTAATAGATTTTGTATATTCCGTAAGTACAAGTTATACAGTACTTATCAGCTAAGGTAACGCGAGCGTGTATTATGTTATCAGTTGCATAAAAAATATTTTATGGGAATCACTGATATTGATATTGAATGGAATTTAAATATAAAAATGTTTTATTTATTAAAAACTTCACAGATTATCAATTATTAATTGTTGTTGTTATATTAGTAATGATAACTTAAGCTCAATGAAAAGCTCGATTTAAAAAACTGAGCATGTTTCTAATCGGACAACGAATAAATAAAGATATAAACGTGTGGATACGTTTATTTTTACGTCGAGCTCGTTAGTCTGGTATTTTTGTAGTGGTCGGAATAAGAAAAATGTTGTGCAGTGTTTCCATTTCAGCCTCTGAACTGTAAAAAAAATATTTACATATATGCAACAGTTTGAATGCGCACCTAAATTAGATATCATTGGGCCTCTCACCTTTCAACGTCCTCTGTCATAACGAAAAGTAACCTAAAAATAACATCGCAGCAGATGACTGTAATTTAGTTGCAGCAACAAAAGTTTAGCTAATACTTTCAAAGTATCAAATAAAATTTTTGTTGTAAGTTGATATTGCCGCGATAGAGATTTCCTATCACAAAATATAGTAATAAAACGGACGTATCTATCCATCGTGCTCTTGTTAATCTATCGGCGTTTCAATCTTTCTCGAATGTATCACGAAAAAAATACAATATGTAATTAATTGTGCCATAAAAAATACAACCAAACTGGTTATTCCACGTCCGTCAATACGAGTTTTCAAAGTTGATCCTTTGATTTCCAATTATTAAGCGCAGAACACAAATCTATTTAATGACATGATAAATATTTCATATGTTACGCCGTTTAATAATAATAACTTAAATAAAATAAAAACTAGTCAAGGTCTTGTAACATTTAATTGGGACGTTGTACTCTATACCAGTTATTTACCACTTCTTTTAAGATAGTAGTTTTATATGCTAAAAATATAAAAGGTATTCAAAACGAGCTTGCATCACCTTCGTCCTTTAACGGTTATACAGATTTTGGGAGTCTTACATCCTAGTAAATTAAGCCTAGTAAATTTTATTAATGAAACAGATGAAAAAATATAACTGCCCCACGATCAGATAAAAAGAACGCTTCAGACTTCATACGAGAAACACAAAGAAATATAAAAGGTGAAAAAATCTGTAAATTGTATGATACGATGTGATAAGATAGAAATAAAGATATCATAAATTATTTTAATCGTACAAAGTAGCACTGTAGCACTGTACGAGATTAAAATATCTACTATTGTTAACAGCGGTACGATATTTTTAAATAGAATGAAATTTCTCTAAATTGCTTCAAATGCCACTTCTAACATGATCAAATACCAATCCTTTGGTGTTCTAACCAATAAGACCTCGAAGAGTAGAACTCGTCCCATTCTGGTTGGCATTGAACTTCTCTTGGTAACATTATGTTTGATAGCATGTTGCGCTGTTTATTGTTGCAACACTCCCGACCGCGGTGCTTTTGCAATAATAAATTATCGCCAAGCGCGGCCAATTCGGGGATAAGGGTTCCAACCAAATATTTTAATTTACTGCGACCAATTAAACCGTTTAAAACGTGAAATATATTATTTTCCACAGCATTTAAAACGTAGCGCTGATGTTCAAAATAAACTACGAGGACTTCTAAATGCTGCTAAAAAGCTGCTATTTTCTCGACAAGCGTTTATTTTTCGATTGTTGGTATATAAATCTCAAATAACACACTCTCATTCCTTCTCATAGACTTGCAGCAAAACTTTCAAAACTACTTCACCAAAAGTCTAATATTTTTTCTCGGTAGGTACTTCCTTGCTTGCTTCTCGTTCAGGTCTGTGGTAGGACGATTGCCTTAGACCACGGAACCCTAAAACTAAAAATGCTTCATTATCTTTCACTCTTTCGAACAGTGACCACCAAATGCGACTTTTATGACCTTTTGATTCTGGTATTTAAACAATTGACGTAAAATTATATGAAAATTACAATTGTTCTGCTAGGTCAATTGTGCTCAAGGTTCTGTAGTCAGGTCAGCAATATAAAATAAATATTTAAAAAAAAACATTGTAAAATGTTTAGTTTCAATACAATTTGGGTTAATATTAAGGTTTTTGTGTTTCTTTAATAAAAACAAGCTAAGTACAGTTTTTTCTTAAACGTGGTATTTAGCCCTTTTTTTTATTTGGAGGAATCGACTCTTTACCGACGCCCCCGCCTGGCCACATCAAGTGGCGGGGGAAGTGTGGGGGTCAGCCAGCTTGGCCACTACCCACTAAACCTCCAAGCCCACGGGAGACTTGCCGGACGCGAGCGGGCGGTTAGTTAAACGTGGTAGATAGCCCTGGTAAACTTAATATTCTTATTTCGAATTACTTCTTGATTCTTTAATTAAGCGAAATTTAAAATGCCATTCATATTTCACTCGCAAAAAAATAACCGGTTTTTAAATATATAATTTCATCTTCTTTTCAC